CATGCATTGAGCAACTCTGCACAAACATACCCAAGGAATTTCATGCCTATAAGTCAAAGCGTTTCGGAATTATGGCTCATTAAATATTCATATGTACGAATGGTAATTCTGGTCTGTGTACACGACGTATATGGGAAAATTCAGTTTTCACGGCGCATAGCGCCGGAAACTCTTTCTCTGCACGACAACCCCAGATCCAATTTTTATATTTTTGGGTGTCAAAAGATGCGCAAGGCTCGTGGCTTAAAAGTCATAACAGCTTGGGTCGCAAATTTTTGTTTAAAGGCTTTTGCGGAAAAAGTCGGGAGGGGTGGCAGATACCGCCCCGGCCCTTTTAGTGTTAAACAACAATAAACCAACAGGTTATCTTAGAATTCAAATACTAAACACAACATGTATGTTAAAGCTACTCATGGCTCCTCGTTGGGGATTTCCCTGGTCTCCAAGTCCTCCACATGTAAGACAAGCTTCTGGATGGTACACTCCAGAAACTTTTCAGAATGGACTCGCCTTCTCTTGTCATCCAAGTGGGGTCACCAATAGCGAGTTTGACCCTCCTTACTGGATTGTCCTCGCCTGGGAACACCTGAGCAATCCGAGCAAGCAACCATTGACTGCGAGGAAGATTCTCGTCATTGATGATGAGAATGTCCCCAATGTGAAGGTCATCTTGTGGTCGTATCCACTTTTGACGCAGTTGGAGGTTTTGATTAAACTCCTTCCTCCAGCGTGACCAAAACTCATTCGTCAAGTTTTGAACTCGACGCCATCGTTTGCGGGATTATATGTCAGTACGTTGGAACCTTCCTGGCGGTGGCAAGATGATCGTGGATTTCATCGTCAACAGGTGATTTGGGGTAAGTGGCGCAGGCGAAGTTGGGTCATTCAAGTTGTCCACTGTAAGAGGTCTACTGTTGACAATTGCAGCTGCTTCAAACATCAGTGTTCTCAAATACTCATCATCAAGCTGTGAGCCTACCTGATGCAACAGTGGTCCCAGAACTCTAAGCACAGAACTGTCGTTCCCATGCTCCTCCTGTATGGTTGGCTGAAGGAGCATTTATCTTGACTTCGTAGTGGTTTTAATCGCATCCCTCTTCAAGAGAAACTGCCTCACGGAGCTATGGTCCATTTTAGCAACAGCTTTTTTGAGCTGGGACTCAGACTGTCGTATTGGCCCACGAATGGAAATGAATATCCGTACGGCGTTGATGAATGAGTTTGAGCTGAGACTTGATGCTTTTCCGATGTGAATGGCAAGTGTTGCCATGCACGTGAAGAGAATTCCGTATCTCTTCAATTCCTTTCTTCCCTCATTGATGTATCAAGGGCAAAAGAAGTCCACGCCAAAATTGGTAAATGGTGGTGCCGGTTCGAGACGGTCTTCCGGCAGGTCCGCCATTTTCTGCTCTTGAACTTGCCCGAAGAGCTTCCTGCTTCGTAAACATTTGGATGTGTAGTAGGAAACAGCCGAGCTACAGCCATGCCCCGACCCTGATGTTGGGTTTGCTGATGGCAATGTCGAATGATCAATTCGGTGATGTGGTGCTTTCTGGGCAAGACAGCTGGGTGCTTGAGGTTAGCGGCCTCCACCTCGCAGAATGTTTTCAGCATCTAGAAATGGGTCCAATTTGAAGAGACAACTCTTAGTCTTTATTAGCTTGTTACGCTCTCAAATCTAAGATCTACTAGGGTTGTTACTGTTGACCTTGAGAGATTGCAAGATTTTAATTTTCTCGGCAAAGACCTCTTTCTGCACCAGTCTCAGGATTTCTAGTTCCACCTGGCGCAGGTCCTCTACCATTACAGGTTCGTAGAGAGGATCGAATCTGTTAGCTCAAGGCGTGGCAAAACAGGCTATAGAGGACAGACTGTGCATTTCCCCATGATCAGGATGCAGTGCACGCTGGTCATTGGTGATTGGCAGGTATGAACATTGGGCATAGCCAGTGGTACTCGCATCAGAGAGATGATGAATCTCTACTGATTCAGCATGACCAAAATTCTCAGGAAAAGAGCATTGTCGCATTTTGAAGTTCTCCAAAAGGGCAACATCGCTCCTCCACCGTTCCCAAGCTGGCCGTAAGGATTCAGGAACTGGATCATCCCACTCTGCCTGATCTCTGCACAGCTTCTGTAATATCTGTTTTCCAACCAACAGGACAAGACTCACAAATCCAACAGGATCGTATACCGAACGGGTCGTAGAAAGGACTCCTCTTCTTGTGAGTGGTTGGTCTTTCAGAACGATTAACTCAAATGTGTCCAACTCGATACACCAATGGACGCAAAGTGCTCGCTCGATGGGGAGAGAGTCGTGACGCTAGTAAAGATTTTTGATTCCTTTGGCACGATCTTGTGGCGAAACTGCTTCCATCACTTTTCGTGAATTGGAGGCAAACTTATGCAAACGCAAACCACCTCTGCCACAGAGATCCTTGGTCTTCGTTATCAACTCAATGGCTTCTTTGCTTGTGGAAACAGATCTCAGACCGTTGTCCACGTAGAAGTCATTTCGCACAAAGTTTGCAGCTGCAGAACCGCATTCTTCTTCGTAGTTGTTCGCAATTTGTTTGATACCAAAGTTCGCACACCCGGGGGAGGATGCCGCACCAAACAGATGGACATTCATCTGGAACTTCCGGTGGTCTGGAATCACATAGAACAGGTAAAACATCTGCTCTATGTTGCACATAAGAGCGATCGGTTATGTCGAAACCTACATAGCACATCCACAAGTGTGTTGGTCAGGTCAGGACCCTGAAGGAGATAGTCATTCAATGACTTTCCTTTAAACTTGGCACTGCAGTCAAAGACCACTCTGATTTTCTCAGTTTTTGGGGGGATGGTAGACACCTTGATTGGGTATGTACCATACACAGTCATCAGAGACATGAAGCTCAGATTAAGGAACCTTCTCTGCATAGCCACTCTTGATGCTGTTATTCATGAATGTATTGTACTCGCTGTAATACTGTGGGTTCTTTTTGAACCAGCCCCTTAGCTCCTTGAGACGCCGACGAACTTGAATCTTGTTATTTGGAAGTTTAGGTTCTGCTTGCTTGAAGGGTAACGGCATGACAAAGTGACCGTCGCATCTTTGATGAATGCCCTCCTCCATCTTGGTCCAGAACTTACGGTCGTCTTGAGACAGTGCAACCTCGTCTAACTTTCTCTCAGAGAAGTCTAGTTCCATCATTTGTGCAACTTCGTAGGGACTTACCATCTCCTTACCACGACTTCTGAAGGAGAACTGAATGTTGTCAACATTCTCTTCTGAACATCCTTTTGGGCTTTCACCAACTGTCAGGTTTCAGGTTTCAGGTTTATTTCCATACTATAAGGTAATTAAGTTGAATAATATACATCAGGTACACATTGTAACGGAACTTTGAAATAATAGTATGGGGAGGCCAGACAAGAAGCCAAAGCTTGTACTAGGTCTGCCCACTTCACAAGGAATACATGTAGTTATACAATTCATGAATAATCATAGGATATATCAATAATGTAATTACATTAAATTCACGAGCTCATGTAAGACTTTACAAAATAAGAATAAGTTACTTGAAGTAAATTTACCATCCTTGGCTTTACATGTCTTGTTCATAATTGTACTTGGCAATAAAGTAATAATTTTGCTCTTAATCACCATTGATATTAGCCATAAGGAGAAGTAGTTTTATAATACAATTTACATGCTCTAATTGAGGTCATTGGGCAGAGAGATCGAATTTTATTCCAAAGGAGGGGCCCCTGGTGTCATACAGTTGAGAGGTGTAGGGATGTTCTAACTTTATTAAGATGAAGCTTATTTGACGACCTCGTGTCGTAATGATGAATATCTGTGTTCAGTACAAAAAAAAAACGATTTAATATTCAAAGGCAGCATTTTTTTTCAAAATTATACATTAAAGCACACAGTTTATATTTATCAAGATCATATACAGATAAGGTGTTGAACTTAACAAATAGCGGGGCAGAGTGATCCTTAAAACTCGAACCATTAATCAGTCTTAAAGATTTCTTCTGTAAAACGAGCAATTTATCAAGGTAGGTTTTATGAGTATTTCCCCAGGCAAGTATACCATATTGAAGATGAGGCAAGGATAATGTATTATAAATTGAAAATAGAACACGGGATGGGACAAAATATCAAGAATACCAAGGTTGCGATATATAAGTGTAAGGACTTTCTGACAAAAATTTGTCCACGTTAACTTATCATCAATAATGATCCCCAAAAACTTACAGGAATCAACCATTTCAATGTGATGATTGTTAAAACGAATCTGAATACTTTTATCTATAAATCGATTTGTAAAAACCATCGTATGTGTTTTCTTAAAATTCAAAGATAATTTATTGCATACAAACCACTCAAATACATTAGTTAGCTCATTGTTCATTATGTCAACAGCATCATTCAAATGTTTACTACTGTAAAATATATTTGTATCATCTGCAAATAAGTTGAACGTCAGAAGTCGGGTAGAATTACAAATATCATTAATATAAATAAGAAGTGCTTAGAAAGATCCCAAAAAATACCAATCGTATGTTCACGTTTGTCCAGACTAGATGTTATTTTATCAACTTAACCAATCAAGGCAAGTTCAGTCGAATATTTGGCCCTGAAGCCATACTGACTTTGAACAGGTTTTGCACGTGGCTCTCCGCTTGCAGTGCTTTGACATATGCCCTTGTTGAAGACATCCGAAATAAAGCCTCTTTTTCATCGCACAAGTCTTGCACTCTTCAAATGGCTGTTTCTGACGTTCCCAGCAATCGCCCAAGTTGTAATTCTTGCTACAGAGAAGGCAGGACTTTGGATTCTGGATCCCCCTTCCTGTGTTGTTGTTCTTTGTTGCCTCATTTGAAGGAACTCCCTCCTGGGGTTATTATCCTTTCACCTTTGTCGTTTAGTCAGTCTTGTCATCTGAGTCCTTGTATTGAAGTCACAGGGTCACATTCAATCTTGGCCTCAAATTGCATGAACTTTACAAAGTCACTGGAGGAACTTTCTTCTGTTTTTCTTTGAACTCCACAGCTTTTCTAGCCCATTTGTTGATCAACCAGTCAGGGAGCTTGACGAGTACTTTTCTGTTCTCTCTTTCGTCGTCGAGAACCTGGAGGCTACCAATTGTCTCTATAGCCACCTGGCACTGACCTAGGAAGTCGGCAAGATTTCGCATCCCCGTTCCATCCGGAGGAGAGATCTTGGGCCATGATTCCAACTTGTTGCGGAAAGCGTTGGCAATAACAAAGGGATCGCCAAATATCTTCTTAAGAAGCTCCTTTGCCTTGTCAAATGCGTCGTCCGTTGAGAGGAAGAAGAAGCCCTCTATGGACTCCTTCACAGCTCCACCCAGGTACTGTTGGATGTCCCTCTGTTGGATGCTCAGCTTGGGATGCCCCTCTGTTCCATGAGTATTTTGAAGGCACGCTTCCATCTCGGATACCTAAGGGGGTCGCCAGTAAATACACCAGGCTCTGGCGTCGGTCGACGACTCAGGTTTATCTGTTCTGCAAACGTATCTGTGAGATCTTGCAGCGGAGTCTGTGGACTGGCCGTTTTCAACTCATTCTTGATCTGCTGCTGTGATGTACTGGAGTCTTTGGCTGGCTGTGGAATTTCCGGTGTTCCTACTGGTGAGACTGACTTTGCGGCAGACTCATGCACTCCGTGAGTAGCGTTCGGGGTAGGCAGGGATTTGGTGTATTCTTCTACTAGTGAAGTTTTGCTGTCTGTTTCCTTTACATAATCAGTCACATTTTCAGCATATTCTTCTCGTTTTGTTTGCTGGATGGCCTTTAATCTTGCTTCAGTTTCAAGCAGGTCTGTCAAAGTTTGGATTTTCTTGAGTTCAGCTTGTTGTCGTTCAACCTCTGCTCTCTGTTTTCCTTCAACATCTGCAAACTCAAGCCTCGCTTTCAAGGCAGCTGCATCGGCATAGAGCGTTGCCTTGACCAAAACTCCTCAAAATCTTGAAGATTGCCTCGAAGATCTGGTGGCTCTTGAACGTCCGCTGAGGCGTTCTTCTTTGCTGAAGATATGATCTCGTATTTGCTGAAGCAGCTGTGGGTTGAAGAGTATTGATGTCAATTCACTTTAGAGGGGTTGCGCATCTTGTGTTTCTGGTATGTCTGGTGTATCAAGGAAGGGTATAGGCGAAGACTGCTGTCGTTCTTCTGTTGAGTCAGCCATAGCGTACAGAACACATGTACACTTACATGTATATCAAGTTTCAAAACCCAATCAACAAATAGTTAATAGAATGAGTGTATGTAACTCTGCTCTCAAATTCAATGTTGGTAAAATCAAGAAAGGGTACAATTATAAACAGATGAACATGGCTGTTCCCTATGTCTGGCTGTCATTATAGCGGAGATGGGGTACCCCTACAGGTCTTGTACCATCAGCAAATTCTCCATAAAGGAGATCCTTAAGGAGCAGACTTGAGGCCATCCTCTTGACATGGCCCATGCCATCTAAGACGTCTCATGCTGAGTAGAACAAACGTGCTCGGGATGCCAGCACGCTCTCAAACCTCCGTGTTGGTCACTCAATCCTGCCAGCTTATGCAGAGGATGCATTGGAAGCTTCAGGGCTGTAAGCTGTTAAGTGTCTTCTTATGACTGGCATAGGTCGTCCAGGTTTCACAGCCGTAGGGGAGTGTACCGAGGACACATACCTGGTACACGTCTTGCATCTTGCTGTGCACAGTAGTGTGATGGTTGTTCCAATAAAAATAATAACACATTTTGATATAGCGCATTTAAGGACCGCCCGGAGCTCGCAATGCGCTTTACAATCCATAAACAAGTTCAAAATATAAATAAGGAAAACAACTTTCAAATAAATGTATCTTGAGGCTAGTCTTAAACAATTCCAGGTCACTTATTGTTCGCAGTGACAGTGGGAGAGCCTTCCAAAGTCCAGGGCCCCCACATGCAAATGCTCTTTCACCATAGTTCTTCATTTTTCCGGGGTTCGTGGTGAAACGATCCTGGGAAGACGATCTTAAGGGGCTTGGTGGTTTGTATGGTACAAGTAGTTCTGAGATGTAGGCTGGACATAGACCATGGATAGCTTTGAAGATGGTGAGAATGACCTTATAATGGATGCGAGGCTGTACTGGCAACCAGTGCAGGGATTTCAGCACAGGTGTTATATGTTCACTCTTCTTGGCGCTTGATACTGTGGCGAAAGTGTTCTAAAACCTGTAGGCTGGTTAGGAGACTAGCACAATTTAAAGATATTCCCCCAGTGAGCAATGTCACGGGGTGGAGCATTAGTGTACGTGACTGCGCGCAGAGATGTGATTAGCTGCGCGTCGCCCAGCATTGTTCTGTGTGCTGTGGAGACGTACACACGTCGTTAGACGGTCAGTGCGTTAATGGCAGTTCGTGGGTCAACAGTCAGTGTCTGTGTGGGTGAAACGTGTGGTGGAGAGGTAAGCACGAACTTTGTAGAGTTTGTGGTTTGTGTGTGTGGTTTACTAGGATCGGCTTTGTGCCGTGGGTAACGCTTACTAGGGAGCCGAGATCGCTAGGTTGTTGCCAGCGAGCTGTGTGCACTTAGCCCAGTAGCGTTTAGTTCCCCGTTGTAGCGGATAACATAAGTAAGCCGTGCGTTGGGAGTAGCATCAGCCAAAGGTGGTCGAGCGTGTCAAGTATCGGAAGAAGTGTCGGTGTTCCTGCTGTGGTGTACACCTTTACGGTGAATAGCGGTGAACGTATACTGACCTTGCTTTCATACGGCTGCGTTCCCTGTGTGGCTGACTAGCGAACCCAGCAGCTATGTAAGCCACGTTGAGCGTCTGCAGCTTAAGTTGTTACCTCAGAACCTCTATAATAAACTTAACGACTGTCGTAGTTTGTAAGTCTTGTAGTAAGCCAAACAGCAAGGTAGTCAGCCTTGCACATCGGGTAGTAAGCCAAACATGCAAGTTTAATTAATAATAAAAGGTTTCCTCGAGTCCAAGAAGTTTAATCATGTCATTTATTTATCAATCATTCATAAGACAATTGTTGATTCAATAAACCATTTTTAAATCATTGTGGTCCGAAATCAAGTGTCCTGTTGTGCTTATTTGACTTATTGAGCAGAGTTAGCCAATCAATTCCTTAGGCGGTATATTTCCACCAAAACGAACTTGCATCCCTTAGCCTTGAGGCTGCTCGTTAGTCTCCGGTCCAAGGAAGTAACTGGGTTCGGGAGCAATCCGCCACAATACCAAGCGAGCGGCAGAGTTCTGGATCATCTGCAGTTTAGAAATTTCTTTCTCTGTACTTCCCAGTAGGAGGCAATTGCAGCTGTCAATTAAGGAAGTCACGAATGCATGTACCAATACCTCAGTAGTACTGCTATTAAGGTACTGGCGGACACTGCCTATTCTTCTGAGTGCCGAGGAAGCCATCCTGCAGACATTGTTCACATGGCGATGCAGTGTGAGGTTGCTGTCAAATATGACTCCGAGGTCCCGTAGTGACGAAGATGGTTTGACACAAAAGCTGCCCGATGTGATGGGAGCAACCTCTTGAGAAGGTTTGAAGCGTGATGACATATGCAATACCTCCATCTTACTATCATTGAGCACAAGATGATTTTGCCTCATCCACATGCGAATGTCTTGGAGACAGAGTTCTAGCTTTAAAACCATCTGGTCCCTTTTTGTTGGTTTCATGGTGACATAAAGCTGTGTGTCGTCTGCATATGTCATGGTTGAAAAACCGTGAGCGAAGATGATGTCTTCAACTGGAGCCGTGTAGCAAATAAAGAGGAGTGGGTCAACTACCGATCCTTGTGGCAGTCCTCACAGAAGTGGTGCAGGATCTTGCTCTGTCTAATCAGGACGGCTGTGGCCTTGGCTATTCTTCTGTTAAGATCTGTGCCAAGAGACAAGTGTGCTGATGATTGCTGAATCAAGGTAGGTGAAGGTATCCACCTTCTCAAGAACGTGTCCGTTAATAGTGATGGAAAGAGTGCGGTCTATGTTCTGGGCCATGACGTTGGTCTTTTTCACTGCAGGGATGAGAACTGAGGTAAATAAAAAAACCCATGAAACATTCGTCGGAGAAATTTGCAAGTCGCGTCGCGCGTCTGCGGCCACATGTCAGCGTCCCTTAGATTCGTGGTGTATTTATTTGATTAAAAGGAAGGAGCTTGGGGAAGTAAGCCACTTTAAAGCTGTTTTTACTTTCGGGGATATGAAACATTTATTATAAACAGAACCCAGAGTGGGAGCTTAGAACATTTATTCATGGGAAAAGCGCCAAAGCAGTCGACCTCTTAGAGTGAAAGGGTATCATGGGGACATCACAAAAATACATTGCTGCCGAGTCTAGGGAGTGGCCTTTTGTCCGAAATGACGTAATAAAGCACTGCCATTACCGACAATCCTTTTTTGACAATATCTCAAAAACTATACATGGTAATAACACCAATGTGGTCTCTACACCTATGTGTTTATGGTCATTCTTTACGTTGAACACCATTGTAGTGCCTGAAGATGTGTAGTTTATCATGTATCATCTTAATTTGCAGAAAAGCCAGCTTTTGTACGATCCTACGAAAACTATATACCAACAAAAGGATGCCTACACCTATGTTTTTGTGGTCAAATATTGCAACATGTTTGTGTACACTTTATAAACCTTGATTGCAATACTGTATTCCCAGCTTCGCATATTTTACTTCTTAGAGTGGAGATATTAAGCTCAAACGAACAAACAGTACATGCAGCTGAAACTTTCATAAGTTAAGATCATGTAGTTGAGTAAGTATTGGTTAATTAAACGATGGTCATTATCTATTTTCAGTAATAATTGTTCTCATGATGTCAATATTATCCCATGTGATTAGATTTAATAGTTGGAAATCAAACTACCGAAGGTTTATCGGTGTCTCTAAATTGCAGCCAATCTTGAGAAGAAACAGCCTTGTATCAGTGAAGCAATAGTCGGTCTTTATGCCCTGACAGGTTGTGATTTTACATCATGCTTCTTCAGAAGGGGAAAAGTTAAGCCCTTACAGCATCTAGAATCAGTTCCAGCCCATGTTCTTGCTATGCGATCTCTGACATAGCAGACATTCCAGCTGTTACCTCCTTTGTCTGTTCCCTATATGGGTTTAAAACTAACCCACTCACTCACTCACTCACTCACTCACTCACTCACTCACTCACTCACTCACTCAATCACTCACTCACTCACTCACTCACTCACTCACTCACTCACTCACTCACTCACTCACTCACTCACTCACTCACTCACTCACTCACTCACTCACTCACTCACTCACTCACTGACTACTGCACTTGACAGTGGTTCGTAGTGATCTCCAACCTCCCCGGTAAAGGGCAAGGGACCAGCATTCGATAGGTGACAGCTGTGCAGCATCCCCAACCTGCTTAAGCCGGGGACGACCACGAGGCCTGGCCCAGGTGAC